TGCTGGCCCAAATGGACCCGGTCGGTTTCCTTCCCTTTAAAAAGTGGCATAAATACGGTTCCGAAGGGCTTCCCAGTAGACCAATCCAGGAACCGCTCGCCTTTCAACTCGTGGGCACGACCCACCAGATCTGGAAGTCCGCGGCCCTTGTGGCTGCATTCACACGATCTCTTGAGCCGGATCCCTCTCAAAGCTTGCTTAATGTTGACCTTGGTTAGCCTTTTGTTGTTGTTTTTTTTTACGGTTGACGCAAACCTCGCCGGTCTAGTTTACGGCACGCAGCGTGTGAATCCAGCAAAGGGGTTAATTGCAGGATCGGCTTCACGGGTCGTGGGAACGGACCCAGCGAGACTCGCGGGTTCGATCAGAGCCAGCCTCTTAACGGCTAATTCCACCGCATTTTTTTTTTTCGAGTGTCGCTTCTTCGTGATTGACGGCAGATAGGAAAAAGAAAACCCGAATAAGTTCAAAAAAAACCAGAGAAAACCAGGCCGGCTCGTTTGGGGGTGACACGAAACCCCCCTCCCCCCAATTGCGACTCGTCGTGGGAAACCAAGCGACCCTATTCGACAGGAAACCCGGGTTCTGTTAACTCCAGGTCACTGAGTCGTCGGAATGCAAGCTCCCCCTTGCAAAAAAAAAATAAAAAAAAAATGGGGGGGGCGCCTTGAACAAGACGAAGTTGCTGAAGTGTCTTTCTGTGCTTGGTTCGCAGGTCTCTCAGCATCCGGGGGGGGGGGAGAGGCATTGTCAAGACCCCCCCCCGCCCCGTCGGCGACACCAGCTCCGGGAGGAAGAAGAGAGAGAGAGAGAGAGAGAGAGAGAGAGATGGAAGGAGAGGTAAACGGGGGAAACTCGCCTTATTTACTGGAGGGGGGGCGTTGGGGGGGGGAGGAGAAGAAATTGGGGAGGGGGGAGAGTCAAACCCTCCAGTGCTGGCAGTTCCAAGTTCCCAAACCGTGCAAGCTTCCAAGCCCTGCAAGTCTCTTCGTCAAGCAAGGAGGGGGGGTCTCTCTGCCTCCCCCCCCGCCAGGACCCCACCCGCTGCCTGCTTAGCATCTCCGCGCCCCCAGATTTAAATCGGGGGGTCGCGGATGGAGGGGTGGGCGATTAGACAGGACTCCCCCCCCCCCAGCCCGGCCGGAGTGGCAGGTCTCCTGCGGCAAACTCCGCTCGGATCCCGAGGGGAGGTAGGTGGGGGAGGCCCGCCCCCCATCCAGCCCCCCCCCTCACCCTCCCCAGACCAATGGCAGATGCTGTGTGTATGTGGGGATGGGGGTCCACGGAGGGCCTGGCCCCTCCCGGAAGGAGCTTAAAGGTTTGGAGGAGGGGGAAAGGGGGAGCCCTCCCCCGGCCTTGCCCCCCCCGCCATCTGGAAGGGGGGGTTGCTCGGCGTGCGGGGAGGGGGCGGAACAAGCAGCCCGTCCCCCCTCCCCTCCCTCCCATCTCCCCTCCCCTCCCCTCCCTCCGCCTTACCTGGCTCTTTGCGCACCAACCGCCACACCTGAGGGATCGCGCAGCTCTTCGCGTCTGGTTTCCTTCCCGGGCCTGCCCCCCCCGTCCCCTCCCCTGCTGGACGGGGCGTGTGTGGGGGGGGGGCTACGGCTTTTGTCCTTCTGGGCTCATTTCCGCGGCTGAGGAACGGGCTGGGGGTAGCGGGGGGGTCTCCGCCGCCCTCCGCTGCGCTTTCCCGACTCCAAAGGGCGCTTTCCGACGTGATCTGGACACCGGTGGACGGAGGGTCAGCCAAAAAGGAGGCTGCTCTGCGGCGTAGGAGGACGCGCTGGGTAAGTCTCCGGCCTGGGGTTGGATCCCGACGACCGGTTCGGGGTCTCGGGGCTTCCGTGACGCTAGAAAGGCCGAGTCTAGACCCGTGAGCTAGCTCGGGAAGGTGAGGGTTTTAATATCCGGAGAACGTGAGCAGGGCGTGTGTCTAGGGACCCGTGTCTTTTAGGGCGTTTTGTAAACACCTTGCTTCGCTTTGCTAACGCGTGTCTAGCGCTTCCAGACGTGCTGCGGGGGAATCTTTGCCTCCTAGATACCCCTCAAGACGGGGGTCCCTCATGTTTTTCGAGGGGGGCTGGGGGGGGAGAGGAGGGGCTCCAAGGGAGAAGCCCCCCCCCCGGTCTCTTTTTTGGAGAAATAAAGTGGGGCAGAGTTTTTGGCGAAAAGCGTGTTTTGGAATCGGGTTTTCCGAAAGACGGGGTGGGGAGGCGGGGGGGGGAGCCCGGCAGGATTTAATCTTAGGCGGAGCAAGGTTTAGGAGCAGCGGATCTCTAGAAATCTTCCAGCAGTGGAATCGCGCGGGGTTGCGTGGGTGGGTGCGTGGGAAGGTCACGACTGTCGTGTCGAGGAGCGTGAGAACGCTGCCGCTGTTGGCTCGCTTGCTGAACCTGCTAGGATTCGGACATGGAGGACTGGGTGTGATTTGAAGCCAGCCCCCTCCCACTCCCCACCCGCGCTCGTGATCCCAGAGCGACCCACTTTGATCGCCCCAGCCTTGGCGGGAGATCCTTTTTGGGCGACCTCGAAAAGCCTCTGGTCGCCCTGGTCCTCCCTCCGAGCCCCGAGCCCCCACGCGTGTCTCGGCCGCAAAGGTGGATCTTCAGGCGCGTCCGGGAGCCGGGAAGAACCCACCGGCTCCTCTCCGGGCCAAAGCCGAAGCGGTCCACGCTTCCCGGTCGTCCAAGGCGCTCGGCGGAGCTCGAGGCTGGCCGTTTCCCCCCAGGCTCTGCGTGGAAATGGACCCGCGGGGACCCCCGGCCCCTCCCTCGTGTGTTGCTGGAGCAAATGAGCTGCAAGCGCTCCGGGATGGGAATCAGCGCGCGGGGAAGGGGCGGAGGGCGCCAGGCCTTGGGGGAGAGCCCCACTAGGGAAGTGGATCAGGAAAGCAGCTGAACTCCTTCCCTCCTTCCTTCCTATCGTTCCTTTCTTCCTTCCTTCCTCCCTTCTCATTCCCACCTTCCTTCCCTTCCTCCGTCCTCTCATTCCCACCTTCCTTCCTTCCTTCCTTCCCTCCCTCCCTCCCTCTTTCCTCTCACTCCCATCTTTCTTCCTTCCTTCCTTCCTTTCTTTTTCCTTCCTTCCTTCCTTCCTTCCTTCCTTCCTTCCTTCCTTCCTCCCTCCCTCCTCTCATTCCCATCTCCTCCCTTCCTTCTCTCTCCTTTCCTCCCTCCCTCCTCATTCCCACCTTCCTTCCTCCCCCTCCCTCTTCTCATTCCCATCTTTCTTCCTTCCTTACTCACTCTCTCGCTCCCTCCCTCTCACTCCCATCTCCTTCCTTCCTTCCC